AGACAAACTTTCAGAGAAACAATAATTTTTCTGGTGGAGGTGGTAACAATTTTCAGCGAAGAACTCAAGGAGCTGGCATGGATTATAAACCTAGTAATTGTGCTCAACCTTCACAGAATCAACAAAGAGAGCCTGCTGAGTGGGAAAAAGCTTTTGCTCAAATGGTCAAGACTTCAAATGAGATGGCTCAGAACACTAATGCCTTTATCGAGGAGACTAGAGCTAACAACAAAAATACAAATGCCTCTATAAAGAACCTGGAAAATCAGATAGGTCAACTTGCAAAGCAAGTTTCAGAAAGAATTCCAGGTACTTTTCCCAGTAATACAGTTATCAATCCAAAGGAAGATTGCATGGCTATTACTACTAGAAGTGGCAAAGTGGTAGCACTCCTTAAAAATCCAATTCTAGATTGTACGGAAGAGGAGGAGAAGCATAAAGAAGCAGCTGAACCAGAGGCTGAGATAATTGTGAAAGGAAAAAACAAAGAAGCTGTTATGGAGAAAGAAAAGAGTGAAGAGCAACCTACTGTGATTGAGAAAAAGCACGAACTGAGCCCTGAATATATAAGGTCTCAAGTACCTTACCCAGAAAGGTTCAAGAAAGAGGCTTCTAACAAGCATTATGACAGGTTTTTAGACATCTTCAAGAAGCTGCACATAAACATTCCTTTTGCAGAAGCTTTGGCAAATATGCATGGTTATTCAAAATTTATGAAGGATCTTTTGTCGAAGAAGCATAAGCTACAGGAATGCCAGACAGTGACACTTAATGAGAAATGTAGTGCCTTTATTCAGCAAAAGATTCCGGCTAAGCTTCGTGATCCGGGGAGTTTTAATATCCCCATTACTATTGATGATGTTGGCATTGGTAGAGCTATTTGTGATCTTGGGGCTAGTATCAACTTGATGCCTCTTTCTGTTTATAAGTCTTTGGGAATTGAAGAATTGAAACCTACAGAAGTCTCTCTTCAACTTGCCGATAGATCTGTGCGGACACCTAATGGGATCATAGAAGATGTTCTTGTCAAAGTTGACAAGTTTATCTTTCCTGCTGATTTTGTGGTGTTGGATACGGGGGCAGGAAGTGAGAAGCCTCTGCTCTTAGGTAGGCCATTTTTAGCTACAACGCGTGCTCTAATTGATGTTGAGCAGGGAATAATTAAGTTGAGGATGCACGATGAGGAAATTAATTATAATGTTTTTGAGGCTATGAAAAGACCAGCCGAGAATAGTGATTGTTTTCAGGTTGAAGTTTTTCACGAGCAACATAAGAAGATGCGTCCTCAAGAGATTGATTATGAGTTGAGAGCCCGTGATCATGTGCCCTTTGAAGACAAAGAGGTTGATGTGGAGGTGCTTAAAGAAAGAGCTGATGATATAGAGGTTGAGGCACTCAAGGTTGAATTGAAAACTTTGCCTGATACTTTGAAATATGTATTCTTGGGGAATGGAGGGACATATCCTGTAATTATTAATACGGGACTCTTTTCTGACCAAGAAAAGGAGCTGGTTAAAGTTCTAAAAGCTCATAAGACTGCCATAGGGTGGTATATTTCTGATTTAAAAGGTATTAATCCCTCTATTTGCACGCATAAAATTCTCATGGCAGAATTAGCTTATTCGACTAGTATAGTTTGTTGCTGGGGACAACAACATTCTAAATCTGGGAATTGAGTTGCATACTGTTATATGCGAGACCTGCTAACTGCGGAACACAACAAAAAGGAGACAAAAATTCTATCTGGAAAAAGGGAGATACTTCAACTTTTGCTGTTATTTAAAATTTTTAAATTTCTTATTCATAAAAAAAAAGGATAGATTGAATCCCTGTACAAGCAATCTCAGGTTGACAAGCTGGCTTAGTCTTATTGTGAACTGAATCATTAAGAGCATGATATCTGTGAAGCATTCATGTGTCTTATATAACCTGAGAATGATGCCTGCTTGTTTGTATAGCTGTTCTTTGGTAAAATTTTGTGAAATAATTTTTGATGTGAATTCTGGAAACTAGATTCTAGTTTGAATTACAGCTGTGAGGATTAAGCCCAAACAGAATTAATTATTCAGAGAGGCCTCACTGTAGTAGGTTTTTTCTTGAACTTGAATTGTTTCTCTGGCTTGCTTGCATGACTGATATGATAAGGGCATTTATTCTTATTAGCTTAGAGCCAAATTTCCTACCTAGAAGACTATCCATTGTTAAACCCCTTTGAGCCTGAGACCAATTGTTCAAACACCTATTGAATGTTACTTAACTATGTTCCAATGACACACCTTGAGAGAGATTGAAATGCTAATTACAAAAACAAAAATCAAGGTCCTTTTCAGAGAAGAAAAAGTTAAGTAAAAGAAAAAGAGGAATGGTCTGAGAAGTTAAAAATATAGCTCAAACGAGAAGGGAAACAAAAAGAAGTAAGATAGTGAAAAAGGGAAAAGAATCCCTGAGATGTCAAAATGACAGAATTGAAGAGCTGAGAAGGAATAAAAAGAAAAAAAAATCTTAGGATTTCAGTCTCTCCAACTTAATCAGCCTCTAACCAAACCAGGCCAAGCTACAACCTATCAAAGACCTTTTGATCAGTCTAGAGTTGGAGTTTTCCACAAAAAGAGATCAAAAATGAATTTGGAGCGCCTAAAAACCTTAAAATGGACTACCCTTGTTGCCGAAAACTCATAGGAATATTTTCCGGTTATTAAAAATTCGCATGAAAATGTACATGAAACTTCATATGGCCATATCTCCTTGTCCGACCTCCGTTTAAGGCAAGTGATCACTCAAAACGATCGTCTCAACGAGTAGAATAAATCCTAGTAGGTTTTACTTCTTGAAACAGGCTGAAATTTGTATGATCCGGACCGAAAAGTTGCAGCTGTAGTATTTTCAAACTCAAATCCTGCAAAATCATTCTGTTGAATCACGAAAATGATTTAAAATATGAGTTCCTCTTGATGAGATCTTCAAATAGACACCTTACTCACTCAAATCCGACATACAAAGCTGATACTTTAAGATTGTTGGAGGGTATAGGTTTGAGAAATAAGGGTTTAGAGGTAGAGTTAGTGCTTCCAAGAGACATCAAATTTTGAAATGCTCAACAATATTACCTCCAGCTTAGGAATTTCCTAAAGATAATGTAAACTATTGGGCTTATATCTATTGGGCTTATATGTGAACATATTATTGGATTACATTTTTAATATATCCAACATTGATTACAAGTGGAAATGGTTATCTTCTCACGTCTGATCCTCCAATAGAGTGTTGTAGAAGGCACTTGGTTGCGATTGAAGAAGACCTTTCCTATCACATTATTTTTTTATCAAACTGAAAACTCTTTCTCCTCGAAACGGACAACTTCGTCGTCATTACTGGCAACAGGGTTCCACATTCAAGTAATATCCATATCAAGGTCTACAAATTTGGGGTGACCACATATAAATATTTTTTCTCTTCTTTCTTTTTCTTTTGTTTTGTGCACATTTTTGTTTTTTTCTGTTTTGTTAATCTCATTCAATTGCATTATACACAGATCAATCACTCTAGAAATGGAAAGTGCTAGTACAACTCAAACTTTTATGCTATAGGTGCATTTCCTACCATCATGCATGTCATTGTCTGCTTATAATAAGCCATTTCTAATTAAGAATTACTCAAAAGCTCAAGACTGAAGTTTCTGTTGTATGCCGCCCCTTTCACATAAGATAGGGTAACCCCATAGATGTTCTATTGTTTCTTTGTTTTCTCAAGTTAATTTCATCGAGTTGGCATTTACTTTAATGGAAACTGCTGATACTACTCAAACTTTTATAACATATATAATCACATTTCCTACCACTTTATATATGTCAAATAATTATCTGTGAAATGATGATTCGGGTACTTATAATAAAACATGTCTCATTAAGAATAAGAGCCCGTTTGGATGAACTTTTTTTTTCTTCAAAAGCTGCTTTTTTCTTAAAAAAAGCACTTCTCATTTTTAGTTAGTTTGGATGTCTACTTTTAAAAAAAGTAGAAGTCACAAAAAAGCCAAAAACTTACTTTTTTCAGAAGCTAAAAATTTTAACTTCTACAAAAAGCCAAATATTGTTTTAAAAAACTAAATAGTTTTATAAAAATATAAATAGCTTTAACTTTTGTAAAAAGCACTTTTAAAATAAGGAAGAGATAAAAGTCGCTTTTTTAAAAAGTGAACCAAACAGGCTCTAAGTCAAACTCCATATAAGGAATTTGTTATTTTATACTCTCTTCCTCCTATTCTTTAGAACAACTAATTAACAAGTAGCGACCAAGCTAAAGCTCTCCTTAAGAAAATGCAATGCTTTACAAATTTCCGAAGTAAAAAAGTTACAACAATACATATGAATCCATTAAAAATTTTATATAAAAGAAATTAATGAAACCACGGATATATAATAGATCATATTAAGAAAGTTTAATTTTGGGAAAATGTTTCTCTTGCAATAGGAGATTAAATAGATAGGCAATATATCAATTCCATTGAAAATTTTGTTTTTCTCTTGTATATTGAATTTTACTAAAATATCTTCTTCTTTTTTTCCAAACTTCAACGGTCAAAGAGATAACTTTTTATCCTTTTGCATAAAAAATATTAATCACAATTTTTTGTCTTCCTAATTATGGTATATATATGTAGCATCAACTTTTCATATATGTTAATTATTATATGAGATTAATTTTTTCAAACTTTAAGGGTCGAGGAGATAAAATTATATTCCACCGCCTCAGAACGACGTTGTTAGAAATAATTGTGGTACAGGGCGTTTACACGAAGTCTTTTGGTTTTGTGGCCACTAGGCGTTGCACGTTTACTGGTTGAGTGTGATGTCGAATACACGTGTTTAAATAGTTGAGTAGAATGGGGATAGAGCTGAGCAGACTTTAAAGAAAACGATAGAAGGACACTGGTTTAGAGGTGTAGGTGTGGGCAAGTCTTGCAGCTGTGGAAATCAATCAAAGCATCTTATTGTAGTTTAATGGAAGGATCCTTATTAGTGAGAAAAGGAGCATGGAGTAAAGAGGAAGATGACCTTCTGAGGGCGTATGTGCAACAATATGGAGAAGGAAAATGGCACCTTGTGCCTATAAGAACAGGTAACTAATTAATATTGCTTTTTATGATTCTAATGGCACATTATTTGTAAGATTATCAAGATACTTATTTAAGAGAAGTACAAAATTTCTTTAACTATGCAGGCTTAAACAGATGCCGTAAAAGCTGTAGACTTCGGTGGTTGAATTATCTAAAACCAAATATCAAGAGAGGAGAATTCAGTGTGGACGAAATTGATCTGATGATGAGAATGCATAGACTTTTGGGAAACAGGTTGAGTTCATACGCGCCTTACTATGTATGAGTATTCAAATTATTTGTGACAAGAGAAGGGAACATTAGCACAACAATCGTTGTTGCCGTCATGTGACCTCGGAGGTCAAATATTCAATTCACAAAATCAGCTTCATGTATACGGCTGCACAAAAATTCTCTTTACAGTAAAAACAGAAATAATTTTTCCTATTTATATATAAGGATCTATTTATCTCATGATATATAAAATAATTATTTGATGCAACAGAGATAAGATAGTGGGGTCCACTATTTAAAAAAAAGAAAAAAATAATTGACTCGACTATCTTATCTCTATCTCATTTAACATGATATAATTATTTTCTTTATATATAATAAAAATAGGGATTTATTAGTCTCCTTTTGTAGCAAAGTTTTTTTCTTATGTCACACTCACAAACCAGCAACGAGACCCATCAAAATATAAAGAAAAAAAAAATTAAATGGACCCCATGTTATTTTTCAGTGTGCAGGAAAAGAATGTTCTCTTATGTGATAGAAGAATAGTAAAACCTATAAAAATATGGGTTTTATTTTTCTCATGTTGCATGAGATAAATTGTCTCATGCAACACAAAAAAAAAATAGATGGAACCCACTAAAAAAAGAGAGAGAAAAAAAAAAAAATCTCATCCACTTTTTTGTGTGTTGCATGAGACAATTTGTATCATGCAACATTGAAAAAATAAAACCCTAAAAATATTTATCTAAAAAGTTAGTTCTAGAGCCGTGGTAATACTTATCCTTTGTTATTAAAAAATCACGGGTTAAAATTCGAAAAACTTCTCTCATCCGCCATAACTGGTCAGAGTTTAAGGGGGGAGTGAATAAGAATATGTGTCAACTTGAGTGAATATGCTCATTATTCTATCTGTCGACTTGAGCCGTGTTTGATTAAGAATGGTTTGTGAATGCAGATGGTCCCTGATTGCTGGAAGACTTCCTGGAAGAACTTCTAACGATGTGAAAAACTACTGGAATACTTATATTCGAAGGAATGTATCCTCTCATAAGGAAGTCAACATTGCAAAGCCAAAGGAAACAGTCAAACCTAACATAGTGATAAAGCCTCAGCCTCTAACTTTCTCAAGAAGGAGATATGTTAAGGTCGATGAGAGTAAGGCCAAACAATGTACTATTGAAACACGTGCAGCTTCATCAGAGTGCAATAATCTTTCAGATATGTGGTGGGAAACGGTGAAGGGCCACGACAATGACCATGAGGCAGGCAACGCAAAGAACGATATATGCTGCTTGGATGACCAAAATGGGAAACTCTTGATAGACCATAATTGGAATGAGATAAATACTTCATTGACCACACAAGCTGGGGACTTTCTTGTAGAAACAGTGATGGACGACAAGGGAGTTGGCAACACAGAGAATGACATGTTTCGCTTGGGTGATAATGATGGGAAGCTCATGAAAGACATTAATGGGAATGAGGAGCTTACATCATTGACCACACAAGCTGGGGACTTTCTTATTGGAGATCAGTGTTGGAGTGATTTTCTTTTGGATACCAATTTGTGGAATTTATGATTTAAAATGTAGGGAGTTTGGAAAGTATGATAAATCTGAACATGGATCGATCATGGGAGAGGATCTCAACTGAACTATCCGGATACGAATTAATTGTTTGTTTCTAGCTAGATCTTAGATCCTCTGACATGATTAATATTTAATGTCACATCAGAAAATTTATTCTCAAAAATTTATTTTTTATTAAGTTTAATTTTGTTGCATTATTAATGAAAAATAAACATATTATTATTTACATGTTCCATAGTTCAAATCTTCTAATTTGCGGATAAATTTCAAAAGACTAGAGTGCTACACCTATTAAAAATATATAATTCATCTAATTAATTTACTTCACTCCCTTCTTTATATTTAATGTCATATGAGTCTACGTATTTCTAATATATAAAATGTGTACTATGATAGCATTGAATGGAGATTCATGTAATTAAGTTTATTAAAATTTTGCAGTACATCAACCTGAGTCGTCTATTGCTTGCAAGGAACTTAATTGTTCAGTTATAAAGATAAAATGAAACGGAAACTAAATGAAATAAGAACTAAATAAAAAACAGTAATAAAATAAAAACGGAAACCAAACAAAAACGGAAACTAAATAAAAAGAGAAACTAAGAAGAAATGGAAACTAAAGAAAAACGAAAACTAAAATGAGAGATTTTAATATGATTATCAATTTAAACGGAAATGAAAATTAAATCAAAAAAAGAAACGAGAATAATCAAATTAAAACAACCAACCCAAGAATTAGATTTAGAATTTCAAGGACATCCATCATTGAACAAATAATTATCAAATCGTGGTTGACCTAAGCGAATCGGAATCCCTGCGTTCACTTAAGAACCCCTCTCTAAAAGATCTCCTAGCGTTTGGTCTAATACGGCGCATCTACTCGCACAATCGTGGAGTATCAACCCGTTCGACTCAAGTTCATTGGGTTAATCAACCTAACCATTAAATCTAGCTAATGATTAATCTCTTTCCCAAGAATGCATTCGCGTATCTTAAATTGAACACCCACAGTCATGTGTTGTCAAACCAAGTTAGAAAGAGAAAAGAGTTGTGTTCAAAATGAGGCGCATGTCCTCATGTTGAACCATAGGTTCTCCAAGCTTATATATTTGAAGTTTTGATGATTACAAAGCACCAACAAGCTCAACATAGATGCACAAATTAGAAGGCAGTACAACAAGTCCTAAATGAAGTTAGAAGATCTAAGACAACATGCAAAAGTGAAGAAGTAATACAAATGTGCAAAGTCAACATCAAAGTCAAAATTTCCAAGTGAAGAAAGACTCAAGAGTATGTTATTTGTAATGTTAATTAGAGTCTTAGGAATGTTGAAAATTGAGTTTATTGAGATTTCTCAAGTTTGCATTTAGAAGATTTGATTTGAAAGAAGATTTAAAAGTTTTATTTTTATTCCAAATAGATTTTTTGAAATATTTGATTTGGTTTGGTTTTTGATTTGAAAAATAAAAAAGTTAATTTGATATTAGTTTTCAGTTTTGAAAGATTTGATTTGATTTGGTTTTTGATTTGGAAAATAAAAAGTTAATTTGAGATTACTTTTCTTTTTGAAAGATTTCATTTGATTTTATCTAATTTTTGAAAGTTAATTTGAAGATTTTGATATTATTTTCAAAAAGATATTTAAATTTTTTTCTTAGAAATCATGATACAATATCTAGTGCATAAATCTAGAGATTTTTTCCTATAATTTCATTTTGAGAAAAAGTCCGTAAATACCTTACCTAGAGTTAAGTTATACACGTTATAATCAAAGGAAGTGAAAGTAAACAAAACATAATAAAAAGAAAATTAATTTGACCATATTTATAGAGATATACTTATTTGTCAAAAGAATTAGGTTTTTTTTTTAATTCCAACTATAATTTCATTTAAAGAAATTCGGCCAATAGTCATTCTTTTATTTTGCATTTAAAAAATAACTTAAATGAATATAAGTGGATCAACAACAAAAAAAATAAATTTAATATTTCTTATTTTTATATCGGTATAAGCTAGTTTGATCAATCACTAAGTAAGAGTATAGAAGACATCTAAGTATGAGTGGAAGACATCTTAACCTTATACCGCTATAAATTCATTATTCATTATCCCGCTTCTCTATATATAATAAATCTTCTATATAAGGATAATAATTGTGAGAAACTATTCTTTTACACTTATAATATTTGTATTTACTCTACCTCTTACCTCAAACTTTCTACGTGAGGATTGATTTCATGTACGGAATTTAATTTTCAATAGGGATCTCTGCTTCTCCGTATATGATAGAGATTGAAATAAATGCAATTTTGACAATTGTAAATTATTATTGAAGCGGCAATTCAATGATTGCTAACAGCCAAATATTACTAATTTTGGTAGCTAATGTCGGGAAAGAAAACAAGAAAGGAAGGAGACAAAAGTTAAAACGTTGAAAATGACTGAAACCTAGCCCTATGAGAGAGAAAACCAAGCACGGGGAACAAAAAGATTTGTGGGGATGGAATCTCGAGTGAAACGGGGGCCGGCCGGCCTACAGAGGTCTACGGCTCGGTGTATGTCAGCTAGATTTGACATAATATATTTCGTAAAATAAGTCGAACTTATAACTTGGCCTTGAAAAAAACTTGTTTAATATAAAGGCCGTAAGCTCACTTTCACAAGGTCTGGTCTATAAGCCTACAGATCGGCTTATATTGTATTTATTATTTTAAATAAAATAAAATAGAATAAGTATGCCTTAAAGAAAAAATAAAAAATTTAAATTAATTAATTACAATTATTTAAAACTTAATTATATTTGATTATATTTTAATAGATAACTGATTTTATTTTTTATGTAAGAGGAACCAACATCTCAGCATGTTAGATTGTGTATATGAAAATATTAAAAAGTTTTTGGGAGAGGTTATACTTGTTACAAACATCATGATGTGTTTGTTGGATTCATTAGTTATTTTAATTTACATAGTATGGATTTATTTGTTGGATCTGATGAAATATATGTTATTTAGTTTGAGCATTTTGCTTTTGAAAGTGACTTAAATGCAGATTGTATGAGTTTTTTTGTGATTCATGATTCTGTTTGGACGTTGAAATTATGATTTTTGGATTAGCAACAAAATTTGAGTATTTTGTACAGTTGATTCATGGTTCTGCTTGGAAGTTAAAAATTAACAGACTAATGGGCTAGGTCAGGCCATTTGTTATTTTGTACAGTTAGACTCGTACTAGGCTTAAGACAGGCCAAATTAAATTTTTTTGGCATAAGCTTGGGCTTTTTGGGGCAAAGCTTGGTCCAGTCGAGTCCACTTTCACCTCTACCATCGAGGATTCAAATTTCAAAGATGGAGAAGCTTTATGCAATAGTCATTGCGATTATTCAACTAACTGTCTTAATAAATCAGCTTCAATTGAATATCGATTTTGTTGCAGTTGTTACAAATCGAAATTTGATTGACCGAGACTTACAAAAATATAAGACCAAGTTTTTACTTTTTAGCAAATCCTATGAATTTTGTTAAAATTTGAGCTAAGAAATACATCCAAGGTAACTTTTGTATAAAATTTTTACTAAAATACCCTATATTTATTTTTCCAAACTTTAAGGGTCGCAAGAGATAACTTTTTCTCTTGGAGAAATGTTAATCCCAATTTTTTGTCTTCCTAATTATGGTATATCTAGCATCATCTTTTCATGTATGTTAATTATTGTATGAGATTAACTATTAACTTTTCTTCTTTAGAGTAAATATTTTTTTGGGTCCCTAACAAAAAACACGGTCCCCACTTTAGTCCCTTACAAAAAAAGTAGTCAGTTGGTCTTTAACAAATTCTAAATGGACCCATTTTAGTCTTTTTGAAGGACTAATATGGGTATTTTTTAAAATTGTGAGGGACCACGATTTTAACTAAATGTGTCCACTTTGAATTTGTTAGAGACCAACTAACTAATTTTTTTTTTTTAAGAGATTAAAGTGATGACCGTATTTTTTGTTAGGAACCAAAAATATATTTACTCATAAAATTATATCAGGTGCCTCTAAATGACATTGTTTTGAGTTGTTAAAAATAATTTTATCTTCGTTACCGAAAAACAGTTTTCCCTTACTGTATATGCTACATTTGTGGTACCGGGCGTTTATACGAAGTCTTTTGGTTTTGTGGACAGTAGGCGTTGCACGTTTACTGGTTGAGTGTCATTTGGAAAACATGTGTTTAAATAGTTGAGTAGAATGGGGATAGAGCTGGGCAGATTTTAAAGAAAACGATAGAAGGACACTAGTTTACAGGTTTAGGTGCGTGCGTGTTTGCAGTTCAAAGCATCTCCAGAAATTTTTCTTTATGTCTGCACATTTAGGGTTGTTTTTTTTTAAAAGATTATGATCATGATTCAATTTTTGCTTCTACTTCAAAAGTAAAGTTTTGGTGAATCAACCAAAGTTTTAAGGAAATAATCGATAATGATAATTTAAAAAAAATAAACACCACAAAAAGACATTGGTAAAATATAGTATAATTGAAGGGATTAATCGATCAAAAACTCATCTTTGTAGATGTCTATTTGATTCGGTAGCTAACTGGTTGGCTGTGTCTGGTAATATTGGTGGCTAGGATACCCAGTGGTATGAGCGAGTGCCTTCTGGGTGTGAGGAGTTGTTTGATGGGGATGTTAAGGGTACTATGGTGCCCAGAATTGTATGTCTGTAGTCTATTTTCTTTCCTATATATACAAAAAAAAAAAGATGTCTATTTGATTCAAAGTTGGCCACTTTTTTTTATGGAAATTTTCACCTTTTTTGTGAAACAAAGTTGGCCACTTTTGTTTCACAAAAGAGGTGAAAATTTCCATACGATTCTCATCCACTTGGTAAAGATTGAATTTCAGGAACGGTTGATGTCTATTAAGATTTGGATCTAATAAAGTTTATGTAAAAAAAAAAAAAAAGACAAAGCAATGAGTTAGAATTTAAGCTTTATGTAAGAGTTGGTTGGGTTGGGCCTATCTTTACCTTTTTCCTTTTAATCTTTCTATTTTTTTTTATTTTTTATTTTTTACATTTGACTTGAATCACACATTCCATGTAAATTTTTTTTTTCCACCCAACTTTGTGTGTGCAACTTGCAACAACTTCCGTCCGCCATTGAGTTAATGGAAGGATCCTTATTAGTGAGAAAATGTTATGATGGAGGAACCTAAGCCTAAGAGGATGACTGTCCCTCCTTCCTGGGCCAAGGACTACCTTGTGTAATCGGCCCAATCTCTATGTCATCAGGCGGTGGCCCAAGCCTTGCTGTTACTTGTTAGGACTTAAGTGTCATTTGTTTAGCTGTTACAGAATGCATTGAGTGGTTACAACATTTACATTACGTGTCAATTTTACAATTCAGTTATAGATTGATAGTGATCTGTGGCTTATAGATAGGAAGCGGATCATTTCTGAAGTTTTATCTGATGAATATACAAATTTCTTTTTGAATTCACCTCTGTTTCTTCTTGTTCTCTCCTTGAGTTACCACATAGGATCTGCAATCCTATCATTGGTGCTTTCATCTCCTTGGAGCTCAGTAAGATTTCACGATGCGCGTTCAAGAATTGGCTGATGAGCTTGGGGCGTCCCAAACTCGGGTGGAGCAACGTTTCACCGATCATCAAAATCAATTCACTAGCATCACTGCCCAACTGCAAGACATACATGCAGCGGTGGTTGGCACCAATAATCAACCACTTGGTGCGCATTCTTCTACTGGTAATAATGCAGGCAGCACATCTCAGCCGTGATTTGCTTCTGATGATCCACGTTTCCTCATGAAATCCATTCGCATGGAGTTACCGGTTTTTAATGGCACGGATCCAAATAGTTGGATTTTTCGCACGGAACTTTACTTCGGCTTGCAACAGGTTCTAGATGCGTTGAAGGTTCAGTTGGCTGGGATGCGCATGGAAGGACTAGCTGGTCCTTGGTTTCAATGGCTGTTCAATGGCGGTTCCATCCAGTCTTGGGATCAATTGAAGTTAGCAGTTCGTCAACGCTTTGGCGGTACTGCGTACACTGATTTGCGAGGTGTTCTGTCGAAATTGACACAAGATAGGACTCTGAATGATTACATTAGGAACTTTGAGGCCTTAATCAACCAGGTCACTGAGTTTTCTGATGCAGTACTCATGAGTTTTTTTGTGTCAGGACTCTTACCCGATCTTCGACGGGCAATTCAACTTCATTCTCCCACATCTCTCCATCAGGCAATGCAGTTAGCCATCACTTATGATGCTCATTTTGTGGAGTTGCGTTCCTCTTTCACTGCACCAGGGACTAAGAAAAGTTGTGTTAAGAGTTCTTACACGGTGGAACAACCTAAACCACTCACCACTATTTTGCCCAGCTCGAAGCCTGTCCTTCCTGCTTTGCCATCCACTGTACCTTTCAAGAAGCTCAGTCATGAAGAATTACTTAAGAAACGGGAGTTGGGGATTTGTTACACTTGTGATGAAAAGTGGAACCCTCGGCATAAATGTCAATCTAAGTTTTTCTTATTGGTGGGGGATTTTGAGGAAATTGCTGAGGAGGCTGATGAGCATATTGTCTGGCAACCTGAAGGCACTCCTGAAGTTACTCATGCAGCTGCTCTCCATTCCTTGAAGGGTGACAAGAATCCTCGAGCTATTCAGTTTAGAGTGCAGCTCCATAACAGGATGGTCTCTATCCTAGTGGACTCAGGCAGTTCTCACAATTTTTTGCAGAAGCAATTGGTGGAGGATATGGGACTCTCAACACTTAAGGTGCCTCGAATGCGTGTTTTTCTGGGGAATGGGGAGTTTATGGTTTGTGACAGAAAATGTTTGGCGGTTCCATTGGAGATTCAAGGGTATGCTTTTACTGTGGACCTTTGGGTGATTGAGTTAACTGGTTTTGACATTATTTTGGGAATCTCATGGTTGAGCCAATTAGGCAGAGTTATACATGACTATGTTGAATTATCTATGGAGTTTATGTCTTCGGGAGGTAGGGTTATTCTACAAGGGGAATCTGTTGGTGGTGTGGTTAGTTCTGTTAACCAGCAGTGTTTGAGATTAGCAGGGGAAGCTGACCTTGTGGGACCTACAATTCTTCCTGAACTATTGGACTTGAAACAGCAAATTCCCATTGCTGTTTGGGACATTCTGCGTCAATTCCAATCTGTGTTCCAATTGCCACAGGGCTTGCCACTACCTAGGAGTTGTGATCATGCTATTCACTTGCTAGAAGGGGCTCGGCCAGTCAATGTTCGTCCTTATCGGTATGCTCACCATCAGAAAGGGGAAATAGAAAAACAAGTGTCTGAGTTGTTAGCATCAGGATTTATCAAGGAAAGCAGGAGTCCTTTCTCTTCTCCTGTACTACTTGTTAAGAAACATGACAACTCATGGAGGATGTGCATTGATTATAGAGCATTGAACAATATCACAATCAAGGACCGTTTTCCCATTCCAACAATAGATGAGCTATTGGATGAGCTTAGAGGAGCCAATATTTTCACCAAGTTGGACTTGAGGAGTGGTTACCACCAGATCTTGTTGATTCCAGATGACACTCCCAAAACTGCCTTCAGAACTCATGAAGGACATTACGAGTTCTTGGTGATGCCTTTTGGCTTAACCAATGCTCCTTCTACCTTCCAGGCTGCAATGAATTATATGTTCAGGCCATATCTTCGCAAGTTCATTATAGTGTTCTTCGATGATATTCTGATTTATAGTGGGTCAATTGAGGAACACTATAGCCATCTTGTACTGACTTTGAGTTGTTTGCAGGATAATATGTTCATGGTGAAGCTGAGTAAGTGCTCTTTTGCATTGGCTGAAGTAGAGTACCTGGGGCATTTGGTTTCGGGCATGGGAGTGAAGGCTGACCCCCGGAAAATAGCTGCAATGCAACAGTGGCCTCATCCAAAGACAATCAAACAATTGAGAGGTTTTATTGGTCTCACTGGATATTATAGGAGGTTCATTAGGCAGTATGCAGCTATAGCTTCACCTCTCACTGATATGTTGAAGAAGGATTCTTTTTTGTGGACTGAGGAGGCTTCCAAGGCTTTTGAAGCCTTAAAGGTTGCAATGACTGAGACTCCTGTTCTGACTCTTCCTGATTTTTCCTCTCCCTTTGTGGTGGAAACGGATGCATCATCCTTGGGAATAGGGGCTGTCCTTCAACAGAATAACCATCCTATAGCTTTTTTTAGCAAGAAGCTTGGGCCAAGGATGCGGGTGGCTTCCACTTATGTCAGGGAATTATATGCCTTAACTGAGGCAGTGAAGAAGTGGAGGCACTATTTGCTTGGAGCAAGGTTCATCATCCGAACATATCATAGAAGTTTGAAGGAGTTGCTAACTCAAACTGTCCAAACAGTGGAGCAACAAAAGTATGCCTGTAAACTAATGGGCTATGATTTTTCTATTGAGTACAAACCTGGTGCAACTAATGTAGTTGCTGACTCCCTGTCACGTTGTTTTGATGAAGAGCAACCCAGTTTCAATTTGGCACTATTGTCTGAAGTTCAATTTTCCTTGGTAGATCAGATTCGAGGTGAAAACATATCTGATCCTGAGCTTGTTGACATTCGGCTCAAATTGAACAATCAGGAATTGATAGGTTCAGAAATTACTGACCGAGATGGCATCTTATATCACAAAAATCGGTATTTGTTGGGCACTGCTTCAGCATTGAAGGATTTTCTTTTACATGAGGCTCATTCCACTTTGGTTGGAGGTCATGCAGGTATTTCTCGTACTCTTTTGAGATTGTCTGCTTCTTTTTTTTGGAAAGGAATGAGAAAGGATGTCCAGGATCTTGCGAGGAGCTGCTCCACTTGCCAGATGATTAAGCACACTACTTCTCCTCCCTTGGGTTTACTTCACCCTTTACCTATTCCTGATGGTGTGTTTGAAGACCTGAGTATGGATTTCATCACAGGATTGCCATTGTCAAAAGGTTTCAATGTTATACTAGTGGTGGTCGATAGATTGACAAAATTTGCTCATTTTGGGGCCTTAGCTAATCCCTACACTGCTGTAAAGGTAGCTTCTTTATTCTGTGATATGGTGGTCAAATTACATGGTTTTCCAAAGACCATTATTTCAGACAGAGACTCTATCTTCTTGAGTAAATTCTGGTCTCAGCTATTTAAATGCAGTGGGACAAGTTTACGTACTAGCACTTCCTATCACCCACAAACAGATGGGCAATCTGAAGTAACTAACAGATATTTGGAGCAATATCTTAGAGCTTTTTGCCATGATGAGAACCACAAATGGGCAGTATACTTGGGCTGGGCTGAATTTCATTACAACACTGTTGTCCACTCCTCAATTAGCATGACTCCTTTTCAAGCTCTCTATGGCAAAGCTCCTGTCATGATCCCAACTTATGTTAAAGGGTCAGTTCGTGAGGAGGCAGTTGATGCTACTTTGAGCCATCGTGATGGTTTATTGAGACATCTTAGGAATCAATTACTGAGTGCCCAAAATCGCATGAAGGTCCAAGCCGAAAAGCACAGAAAGGATCTTCAATTTTCAGTCGGTGATCTGGTGTTAATCAAGTTGCAGCCTTACAGAAAGATCACGATAGCTCATAGGAAGTGTCAAAAACTTTCTAAAAGGTATTTTGGTCCTTATCCTATTGTGCGTGTGTTGCCCTGTGGCCTATCAAGTTGGTTTGCCTGAAAATTGCAAAATCCACTCTTCCTTCCACATATCTGTTCTCAAACCATTCAGAGGTGATGGGTCTGTTGTTCCTGTTCCTTTGCCCTCAATTAATAAGGAAAATCATCCTGTCCAGTTGCCTTTAGCAGCAGTGATGACTCGGACTATTCAAGGGACTCACGGTGATCGAAGGCAGTGGTTAATTCAGTGGACCAACTCTCTCCCTGAGGATGCTACTTGGGAGTATGAAGATGATCTTATCAGTTTTTACCCAGAATTTTCTCTTCCCACAATGAACCTTGAGGACAAGGTTCTTACTGCAGGTGGAGGCAATGTTATGATGGAGGAACCTAAGCCTAAGAGGATGACTGGGCCTCCTTCCTGGGCCAAGGACTACCTTGTGTAATCGGCCCAATCTCTATGTCATCAGGCGGTGGCCCAAGCCTTGCTGTTACTTGTTAGGACTTAAGTGTCATTTGTTTAGCTGTTACAGAATGCATTGAGTGGTTACAACATTTACATTACGTGTCAATTTTCCAATTCAGTTACAGATTGATAGTGATCCGTGGCTTATAGATAGGAAGCGGATCATTTGTGAAGTTTTATCTGATGAATATACAAATTTGTTTTTGAATTCACCTCTGTTTCTTCTTGTTCTCTCCTTGAGTTACCACATAGGATCTGCAATCCTATCAGAAAAGGAGCATGGACTAAACAGGAAGATGACCTTCTTTGGGCATGTGTGCAACAATATGGAGAAGGAAAATGGTACCTAGTTCCTATAAGGGCAGGTAAATAATATTGCTTTCATGAAAGTAATGGAACATTAATTGTAAGATTATGAAGAAGATACTTATTTAAGAGAAGCTCAAATTTTCTTGAATATTTATGCTGGCTTAAACAGATGCCGTAAAAGCTGTAGACTTCGGTGGTTGAATTATCTAAAACCAAATATCAAGAGAGGAGAATTCAGTGTGGACGAAATTGATCTGACGATGAGAATGCATAAACTTTTGGTAAACAGGTTGGGTTCATACACGTTACTATGTATGAGTATTCATATTATTTGTGACAAGAGAAGGGAACATTGGCACAATTATTGTTGTTGACGCCATGTCACCTCGGAGGTCAAAGATTCAATTCACAAAATCAGCTTCTTGTATAAGGCTGCACGAGATTCTGTGCATAGCTGACAACTCTATATATAGCACAATATTGAACTTTTTATATTATTAATATATGATAAGAGTATTTATCTAACATGCTCGATCTAGAGTCGTGGTAATACTTTTTCTTTGTTATTAGAAAATCACATTCGAATTTGAAAATAGTCTTTTTGTAAATACGTAAGTATAAAATTATTTATAGGAATTTCTCTTATCCGCCATTGCTAGTATCAAAAATTGCAATCCCATGCATATTGTTTGTATATCTGGTTGTACAAATTATATAGTATCAAAAATAACTATTCCAGGTATTACCCATCCGCGTGTTCGAAGGAATGTATCCTCTCATAAGGAAGACATCATTGCAAAGCCAAAGGAAACAGTGAAACCTAACATAGTGATGAAGCCTCAGCCTCTAACTTTGTCAAGAAGGAGATTTGTGAAGGTCGATGATAAGAACCTTGAGGTGCACCACACTAAAAGCTAGTTCAAAGAATGTGAGTGTCTATTATAAATTCCACATTAGTTGCCCATACAACCAATAATACTATACAAATTGTATAGTATCAAAAATAACTATTTCGGGTATTACCCATCCGCGCGTTCGAAGGAATGTATCCTCTCATAAGGAAGACATCATTGCAAAGCCAAAGGAAACAGTGAAACCTAACATAGTGATGAAGCCTCAGCCTCTAACTTTGTCAAGAAGGAGATTTGTGAAGGTCGATGATAAGAACCTTGAGGTGCACCACACTAAAAGCTAGCTCAAAGGATGTGAGTGTCCATTATAAACCCACATTAGTTGTCCATACAACCAATGATCCATACTTTGCAAATTGGATCGTAACATTCCACCACCGCAGCCCCGACGCCCACGCGGGCATGGGCTTTGTGCTAGTCTTTTACTAGCCCCGAGCGATCATTGCAATGCTGACGTCACCACCCGTGCCGCTCGATTGTTACTGGGAGACATAGTGGAAGGCTTTGATACCATTTGATAAGAATCTTGAAGTGCACCACCCCAAAAGTTAGCTCAAAAGGTGAGAGTGCCCAATGCTTTATAAACTCCACATTAGTTGCCCATACAATCAATGTGGGACTCCAAGTCCCATACCTTACAAATTGGATCGTAACAGTCGATGAGAGTAAGGCCAAACAATGTGCTATTGAAACACATGCAGCTTAATCAGGAGAGAAAATGTAAAACTCCCAGTCCATTGGTCCTCCAAGACACAAAAAAGTAGAGAAAGAAAGAGGAGAGAGGAGAGAGAGGGAGAAGAAAAAAAAAAAGGGGACCAGGGAATAAAATTCCCTTAATCAGAGTGCAATAATTGTTCAGATAAGTGGTGGGAAACGGTGAAGGACCATGACCATGAGGCAGGCAACGTAAAGAACGATATATGGTGCTTAGGTGACCAAAATGGGAAACTCTTGAAAGACCATAATTGGAATGAGAAGGTTACTTCATTGACCACACAAGCTGGGGACTTTCTTGTAGAAACAGTAATGGACGACAAGGGAGGCGGCAACACAGAGAATGACATGTTTCACTTGGGTGATAATGATGGGAAGCTCATGAAAGACATTAATGGGAATGATCAGGAGCTTACATCATTGACCACACAAGCTGGGGACTTTCTTATTGGAGATCAGTGTTGGAGTCATTTTCTTTATGATACCAATTTGTGGGATTTATGATTTAAAATGTAGGGAGTTTGGAAAGTATGATACTGAACTATCCAGATACAAATTAATTGTTTGTTTCTAGCTAGATCTGAGATCCTCTGCCATGATTTAATGTCACATCCGAAAATTTATTCTCAAAAATTATTTTTTTATGAAGTTTAATTTTGTTGCATTATTAATGAAAAATAAATATATTATTATTTGTGATAGATTATTCTACCTACTATTTTTTCTGCCTATTTTTGCCTACCACTCTAAATTACCATTAGATCAGAATCCTACCTAATATTTATTTTTCTCTCTCCTCTTTAAATTCTTATCTAACGGTATTTTAGAATGGTAGACAGAAAAAAAAGTAGGTAGAATAATCTATGTCTTATTATTTACATATTCCATCGTTCAAATCTTCTAATATGCGGATAAATTTCAAAAGACGAAAGTGCTACAGTACCTATTAAGAATATATAACTCATCCAATTAATTTACTTCACTCACTTCTCTATATTTAATGTCATATGAGTCTACGTATCTCTTATATATAAAATGTGTACTATGATAGCATTGAATGGAGAATCATGTAATTAAGCCATCCGTCAACATACATAAGACTTATATTCATCAATTTGACTGGTCAATTGAAATGGAAACTTGCCATTTTTTTTTTTTTTTTGCAAAAAACGAAACTAGCCAATTTACCGCTTCAGTTACCCAATTTTATAAATTACTCAAGCCAAAAACCGATAAAAAAAAATTGGTGAACCGATTCTATTATACAATATTATAAATTACTCAAGTCAAAAACCAATAGAAAAAAAAATGGTAAATCAATTTCAAACCAATCAACCAGGGACTGGTCTACAGTAATAGAGTTATTGGTTGAAAATGTGCGAAGGAGGATAGTAGAGAAAGGAAGAAATTTAGATGGAAGCAATTTTATTAAAAGCGGCCCGGTCAATGACTTGGTTAAGGTATTGGATCACTGGTTCAATTAGTGGGTTACTGATTGAATCGCATGACCCGATGATTATATATAAATTTATAATTTATATTAAAAAAATTATAAATATACTCAAATGACTGAAAAATAATAATATCAATTCTAAATATTTTAATATAAAAATAAATAAATTATACATTATTGTCCAATAAAAGATCAAACAAACACATAATGCTTGTTATATTGATGTTTCAGGTTCGACATCTTTAATTATCAAATCAAAATTTCCTGCATAGTGCATAATTGATATAATATTAAGATTGTAGGTACGTAACTTATGTAAGTAAATAAGTAATAGATCAATCAAATAACATATCACTCAAATAAGTAAAAGATCACTCAAATATGTCAATCACTTTTTTTTTTAAAAACCCAGGCCGGGTCATCGGTTTTTCACCAAGATCGGTCGGGTCACACCGGGTCGTATCGGGTCTGATACTTGACCGATCCAATGTGATAACCGGACCGATCAGATGACCGGTTCACCGGGTTTCGTGTCGACCCGGTCGGTCCAGTCCGGTTTTCACAACATTGGATGGAAGAGGCTTGTTCTATTTTTAGTTAATATTCTTTTTCTTTTAGACTTGATTCAAAATGATGGAGAATACATCTATTTATATCAGTGGCACCTTCTTAATCAATAATTAGGATTATACCAATATATTTCTCATCCAATGGCTGAAAGTGGCTCTTGTAAGAACCTGCACCGTTAATTAAGGTATTTAAGTAATTAATTATGCAAAATTAGGAAATGATTCCATAATTGACCCTAATAATTATTTATGAGGCTTAATAATCGTAATAAGTGATTAAGAATGCTGAAAGTCGCTTTTCGGAAGAAAAGTGCAGATACCGGTTCTGCTAGTCGGTATATATGCGTGCCGAAAAAGTATCCCGGAAAATTAATGTAAGTGCATGATAATTACTAGAATCATATGTAGGACTTGTAAAACGAGTTTCAAGTCCAGATAATGAGAACTGGTGCTGGAAACCGGTACTGGCTTGGAAAAGCGCGTACCGGAAAAGTGCTCAGAAAATTATAAGAAAAATATGTAAATTCTTGGAAAAATGTGTAGTTTTAGAATCCAAAGTTTGGGATTAAAATGCTAAGCGTAGCAATTAAAGTTAACACAATGTGGTTAGTGTTAAGTGGACCTATATAAGCCTAAGGGCACAAAACCCTAGGCCATACTCAGCCTCTACGTGACTCTTTTGCTGATTCTCTCCAGCCTTCTCTTCTCTCTTGAAAGTCTTGGCCTTTGCTCATGAAAAGGGACCAAGAAGCCATCTTTGTTGTGAGTCTTCTTCTTGAGAATTGTAAACACTAAGCTTGAGAGCATTGTGAGGGGGTGGTGGAGCTTTTTGAGTTGATGCTTGCTGTTTGTGGGACGTTTTTGGGGCTGTTTGTTCTGAGTTTGGGTTGTGTAGCCTTGTTCTTGGCTTCTTGAGCTTCAAGAAGCCACCTTTTGGCATAAAGGGACAAGCTTGAAGTGTATTTTCGTAGCCTTGTGAAGTCAGAACTGTGGGAGCTTCTAGTGAGCTCCAAGAGCACCTCCCTCTGCTGTTTTTGAGCTGTGGTATGATTACCAACCTTTGATCTTGAGTTTAATGCTTAAAAATGAAAGCTTGATGCATGTTAAGGTTAAAAGATGATAACTTGTTGTGGGGTAATGTCGAACACACCTAGAAATGCATGTTTAGGTGTTTAAAATCGGTAAAAACCCAACCTTGGAAGGATATCTTCACGAAAATGCAGAAACTGCATTCTGTCGTGAAATATCCGGATATCGGCCCGTGGAATATCCGGATATGGGATATCCAGATATGTGTATTCGGATATGGGGTTTTGGGATATCTGGATACTAGATATCCGGATATGGGTTTTGAGTATCCGGATATTAGATATTCGGATATGGGATTCTGGATATCCGGATATTGCATATCCGGATATGTCCAGTGAGATATCTGGATATTGCATATCCGGATATGGTCCCGAGGAATATCCGGATATTCTGGGATTTCGCAGAACAGTAGTTGTGCTGTGCATACAGTAGGCTATTGGGGGTTTGTAGACCCTAGATTGATGAAGTTGAACTTCTGTTTTTAACGGACTAAGCCAGAATCATGGGATTAAGGGCTTGTGACTTTGTTAGAAGCTTTAAGACTTGAAAACGTAATGAAAATGCGTTGTCTTAATATTGTATGCTTGTAGTGCATGTTGTTGATGTATTGTTGGTCCATAACAGATTGTGAATCTGCTGTGTTTGGAATTTGAGCTGTGGACTCTTGGCTTTTGGAGTTAGCTTGCAAGGTAAGCTTTCGCGTCATCGGTTTAGCCATGTTGTGGTTCCACCATGTCCCATGGGGGTATGGTTTATGCATGCTGTGTACATGCTTTTGGATATTTGATATGTTGATTGAACTTTACATGTAATGGCTTTTAATATGCATGTGTTGTTTCATCTTGACGGGAAGCCTGAGTATGTAGCGCCATACAAGACGGTGTACCGGGGTGAATGCAAGTGGTACTTGCACGGTGTGTAGGTGATAGACGTATACCTGCACTGTCTCTGGCCAGTAGATTAGTATTGACACACATGACATGATTATCTGCTGCATTGCATTGTTTTAGAAATGATAAATGATAAACTGCTTTTGAACTTATATTGCACATGTAAGTCAGCTTGGGGTGGAAGATCCTTGAGGACTCACTGACTTACTGAGATTTCTAGATTAGAGATCTTACCCCACGTTTGGGGAATGCTTATTTCAGGATCAGGTAGTATGGGTACTGATGCCTCAGGCGGCGGGAGGCCGGAGCTTAGCTGATTATGTTGTTTCTGCTTATATGTTAGCATGACTGGATTTGGATGCTGTTTATGTTTTCCGCTATTTATGATATGTTGTTGTTGAGACTGATGTTGGGCATGTTGCCTTATTTGAGTGAGCATGGGGATTGTCCATGACACTTTCTGTTAGTACTTGTAGTTTGGAGTTGTATAAACTGTTAGATGGTCCGGTCTACATTGTTGTAGTTCCGTGACTAGAGCCACACTTATATTATCTATGTTATGAGGTATTTCAGTTAGCTGTTTTATTGCAATTACATACAGGCGATGTTTTATTAATTGATTATTAAGTAAGTTGGTAATGTTAATGGCATCATAATTGAAAAGAAAAAGTAATTCCGCATTTTTAATTAAGCGCAGCTTAATACGATATTATGATAACATTACCGGATATATACGGGGTGTTACATTTATGGTATCAAAGCAATGGTTCGAGGGAAAAGCCTGTATGTATTGCAATAGCTAGGATGTTTGGTTGTGTCTGTCTTTGTGTTTACTCCGCCGAATTTTATTATGATGATGTATATGTGATCACATTGCGTGGGCCTGATCAACTCATAATTTGTGTAACTTGTGCAGAGTCATGGTAAGGTCCGGGAGAACATGAGAGACTTCTGAGGATCAATCTGATCTTATCCTGACTGCATTGGTTGAGATGCAGGCGGCTAGGTTAGCCGATCAGGAGGCCGCTAGAGTGGCCAACGCGGCAATGATGGAAGTTGTTCGCGAGGCGAACCGGATAGCCGCAGCTGAGGTTCGTGAAGCGAACCGGAGGACCACTGAGGAAGTCCTCGAGGCGAACAGGATGGCGAACATGACGATGATGAGAGTCATGTTGGAGGAGATGAGAGCTGGTCCTGCTATTGGCCAGGCTCCACCACCACCGCCACCACCGCCACCGCCTCCATCTAGTGTTCAGGAGGAGAGCCATAGTCACATCAACAGTGCTACTCTTGCCGCTGAGACGGGGGAGCCCCTTGTGGGGATTGCTGAGGATCGTGATGTGATCGATCGCCGGTTGAATGCTTTCAGAAAGCATAAGCCACCTGTGTTTGAGGGGTCTCTAGATCCTATTGGTGCTGCTAGATGGTTAGAGTCGCTGGACAAGATCTTTCGGGTTATGCAGTGTACAGACCCACAGAAGCTGATGTTCTCGACCTACATGC